GATGTAGAGATGATATCAGGCATAACCTGATGGAATATTGCATCTACAATCCAATCAAAAACACTTTTTCAAACAACTGCTATAGGCCTATGCACCCTCGCAATGTGGTAGGTAACTGGAGCGTATTGTAGAGGTTGCAGCTTGTATTATTGGTTGGACAGCGAGATCACGATTCAGTGCTCGATGGTTGTACACTTGTATAGCCCATATAATATTCGTCTCTATGTGTTCAATCCTACTTGATGTACTTTTGCAAATTAGTGATATGCCTGATACAATCTTTACATCATTGTTCCTTATCATTATTCTTGTGTATTAATAAAATAGTCTTGATCCATGGAATTGACATGTCGACAAGGACACGAAGCCCCGCCCACAAAGTCACGAAAAAACCTTAGACAATGTCGGCTAGACTTACCGAGTTGGCGAACATTTTCTTTGCTATCAACCTTCTTTAAGAAAGAGAATTAAGGGTAGGCGGTATGCGAATGAATCATATATTCATAGCGTTCATCTATTTCATGGAACAGGCGGGGAAATTGTTGTAAAAGCCTCTGTATTTCGCTCCCAAAGGAAGAGGGAAAAGCTGCATTCAGTCAACCTCATTTGTCGGCAAAGGCCAAGTCGTTGATGCGGACTGCTCATGTAAATCTGGGTATCTTTAACCATACCAAGCATAGATATCCAGGCCTAGGCTCACATATGTTTTGCATTGACAACCAGCTGTCTAAGAAAATTAAAATGTCTGTGACGCTCGCTGATTAGTCGGTTTATCTGTCAATCAAATCTCGTCGTGATGTCAATTTACCTACCAGTGTACAATTTTTAGATTCTATCAAATTTTAAGCTAAGCTTATCTTACCCACCTAAGCCAGGGTCTTTAAAACATTGTTTACTTTATGTTGGTTGCAAACACATTTGTTTATGTACAAGTGTACTTTTGCTATTTCATGTGCTCTTTGCTGTCTCTCTTTTAATGGAATTATTATATTATATCAAAGAGGTATCTTTTTTAAATGTTGAGATGATGTGTATTTTATTGAATATCATTATTTGATAACATATTTATCTATAGCCTAAATTTGTTGAATTGGCAAATATTATTAAATTTATTGTAACTAGATTTCTGTTAGATATTAATATTTTTCTCTATTTTGTAATAAATCTTTTTCTATTGGATAACATACATAGATGCAGTTCCAAACATTCACAGTTACACACTCACCCTCAAACATACACATACATAGAAATATAAGGAGACACACTTATTTATTAATCAAAATTGTATTATTTGGAAGGTGAATGAGTTTAATCCTGACAAAAAAAAATTCCCAAACTTCTTCGCAACTAAAAATACCCATACTACTCACACCTTATAAAGATACTTTGTGATGGAGGACCAAGAATCCCAAATGAACAGGTTGTTATAATGCTTCAATCTCCTTAGGTATGGTGGGTTTTTTTATTCTTTGAACTGCTTGAGCCTAGCACACACAAGCAGTTTACACAGCAGATGCTTCTTGCATGTATGATGTTTAGTGAGAATTCCGCCTCATGAGAATTCTGCCTCATGAGAATTCTGCTTCACGAGAATCCTGCCTCATATGACAGTAAGCAAAATATCCTATTTGATATATTTTATCGTGTGAGGCAGAATGCTCAGTCAAGTCTTGATTGCAGTTGATAGAACAAACTGGTTTGGCTATTTATAAATGATGTTCATTTAACCAGCCCTGCCCATTCTAGAGATAGGCTAGCTGGTACATTACTGTCAACATAGGTAAGCATTTTTGTCATATGTAGGCAAGCATGCTCTAAAGAAAATTGTCTCACAAAAACATTTGCTCAGCAAACTGCTGTTGTGTGCGCCAGGCTTCAGAATAGTATTTGTATGCATCATTTTCAAAGCAGGTTTTTCAAAACCTACATATTTTTTATTGGCTCTTATTTAGTTCATTTAAAGCCCATTCCCAGCAAAATTTCACTAAAAAAAGACTTTTTTTTTTTTTAGAAAAAAATGCGTATGCATTACTCTAATTATTATAAACCATGGAAAAATATTGGCCTGAATTTTAGTTTTACACAAAAAGATAAAAACGATGAGCAATAGACTTTCTCATGGGAGGTTACATTTACTCAATGATTTCTTCGTTTCTAGGCAAATTCAGAGGTTGTAAATCGCATCCACTTTTGCATATACTTTGTACAGTAAATAAAGTGCACCCCCTCTAATGAGATTAGTTTTTGTACATCTCGCACACTGCGATCGATCGAGTAGGTGTGAGATATGGTTGTTTAATTGTCAAAATCTCGGTAAGAATCTTTTTTTTTTTAACAAATTTGAAATAATTCCAATGAAATATTATATTTTACAAATGTCACTACTAGCAACGGAAAATATGTTGGCCGTTTTTATGTCTTATAACAGAACCTAAATCGATGTAAAGGCTCATCCTAGCCTGGCAGTGTTGAAAGGCTTACGTTTCTGGTGCCTGGTTTTTCGCAGGCCTGTTGCAAAATCAAACATAAAAATTCATCCTTGTGTTTTTTTTTTGTTTAGAACACACAAAAAAAAAAAAAAATGAATTTTAGACTTATTTTACATTTTTTCATGTTTAGGAATGTCTAAATTCAATTAAACTAGCAATTTCGTATTATGTTTCTAAATCTTAACATATATAAAAATGTGATTTTTCTTAACAACTGAAATTTTGCCAGGAATGGGGCTTTAACCTTCTATTCTTTTCCAAAAATGCTGAGTTAAGTGCATAGCCTCATTCACTATTCATTAAATGTATTTTATATGCAGATTAAGTCACTCGCTTTTAATAATGAGAATGGTTAATGCACAACATTTCAAGCAGGGTAAAACTTAGGCCAAAGTGGCATTCTTGTCGACAATTTCGAGTTGAATATCATGCTTCATAATGGCTTTATTTTGAGATAACATTTCCAACCTGAAAGAATTTCAAATTTTATCTTGAGCCATTATGTCCTTTACATACTGCCCTCTATTTTTTACTTTAAAAAAATATGTATTGAGAGGTTTATGTGCATAGCATTGTGGGAGCATAGCCTTTAACAGTAGTATCAGGGATGATCAGGGGTAGCTCTTGGATTTTTAAAACAGTGTGTGGAAGAGGAGAACAAGGGTACATGATCTATATCCTCTTATAATAGGTCAATGCCTCCATTTTTTATATCCATTTTGAAATAGAAAGTTTTTGACAGTTAAAACTGGGTAATTTGTCATATGTGCTGGGTCTGCCTTTGAATAGATATATTTGATTATTATTGTTCAGGTCAATGAACTCAAAATATGCAAATGAAGCAACAAACTACACTGTTGTCATTACCCTTAAATTGGCTGGTGTATATACAGTTATGCTTTTATAGTAATAAAAGTAATAATAATAATAGTTGGATTTATATAGCACTTTACACTACTCTCGTCTGTCCACAACAGGGGCTGTACGTACCAGTACACCGGGGTAACCCCCTACTTGTCACGAAAGGTGTACTGGGTTCTTTTTAGTGCGCACAAGCCAAATTGCGTACACTGGGCCTACGGGTTACAGATTCAAGAAGACTTGTTCCACCGCCGGGACCATAGGCGAACGTGCCGTTCGAACCAGCGCCGATATTCATAGCTGAAGGTTGCGGCGCTCCTGCCTTAACCGCTTGGCCATGCAACTCACCATATAGAAACATACGTCCCGTGGGTTTGTTTATTTTTCTCAGCTTGCTTTTTCTGCTATTTGAGTGAGAACAATCTATTGCTGTACACTGTTAACATGATTTTATTTCCAGCCAAGGTTTTGCCATTTGTATAAATTATAATTTGTGATATAATACTACAGGTTATTGTAACGATTATTGTTAATGCCATTTATTATTTACGCATATTTTTAGCATCAGTTTTATAGTTTTGAACCAAATATTGATCGTCTCCTGCCTATTTATCGTAATGATACCAATGATAAAAAGCTACTTTTTTGCCAACCTGTGTACATTAATCTTGTCATGTTTCAAACAGGGTTTATGCATTTTTTTGCTTTAGTTATGCTTATATTTGCTATTTATTTTGCTTCAATATTCAGATTATTTTGTTGAATATTTTTATTGTATTGAAAAGTGACTAATGAAAAAAATAGTCAGATATTAGTAGTAGAACACTTTGAAAAACTTACATTTGTTGGCACTAAATTGGATATTACTCTGTATTAGTAATGTCATCTTCTGTTATGTACACCATATTCTAGGTTTTCTTTACAGATGCATTTGGTAAAGACTAAATGAGTGTTGAGGAGAAGACTGCCAATCTAGAATTTCATAACTTTTCTTTTCTTTCACAAGTTATTTATATTCCATAAAAAAGATAGGTTGTTTGTGTCCAGGTCCAATTTTGGTATTGAATATTTTAGATGGGTGGTTGGGCAGACATTTGTCACCAGGATATTTTGTAAGAGCAACATTTCGTAACTAAAACATGGTTTTGAAATGTCTGTGGCAGGGTTACGAAAGTCCAGTTTACAAAAACTTCCTGTTAAAATAGTCTACATCATATTTTAGGGTACCTAACGTTAAGCAGATTCTCAGGGGGTGAGGTCAGTCATACAGGGACAAGTCAAAAAGTACACTATTGTATATGAAATTTTGTTACATGTAAATTAGGCCAATGTGTATATTGTGAACACATATTTTTTTATATGTGTATATCTCTATGTGCATACATTTGGATGTGTTTATTGAAGGTAGATAGATTATCCTGTTTTTGTAAACTGAAAAAATGAAACTAGTATTGATTATATTCTATTCTGGGTTGTACTTTGCAAATGTTTGGAACAATTTGTCCATTTGCAACACACTAATTAATGGACCATCGGACACCTTTACTTGGGACTACAGTTTGTAGTATTATA